AATTCATCAAGTATATACTTGTACACGCACACATACGATGCACACACAATAATAAAGCGTCTTTATATTCTCCATATGTTCATGTAATGTTTTATAATGTAGAATATAACGTAGTATGTTTTCTGTTTATTGAAAAAATGTTTTGTTACGGTGAAAAGAAAGTCTCACTACATTGGTTAGCTGCTACTAGATGGTGCAGCTTCGAGAAGCACTTGCACTATTTGATTTAGCTGCCATACATAGATTTTTGAAGTATGAGGCGTTTTCTGTATTCAAGAAATATGCAAATATCATTGTTGACTGTTCTGTTCAAATAAAGGCGGAATGCCGCCTTACCTCTATAGGTGTTGCCATTTCGATACACAATTCAAAGAAGTCGCATTTGAAAAATATTCCATGCAAAGCCAACTATAATTAGTACTGCACATTTTGCAACCGGTTATTAAAAAAAACGAAATATCAAATAGCTTATTGCGTTTCTAAAAATAGATATTAATACAGTTACTGACTATTTATATTCTACCAATCACTCTCTTTCTCACAACCTAGGGTTTTCGTCTCATTCATAAAAATACTATTTACACTTTGTTTACATCGAGGTGGTTGCCAGATGTACAAAAGCGGGACCCAGCATGTGTAATGAAATATAATTCCGCAACTGTACATATAATACATATATATATATATATATATATATATATATATATATATATATATATATATATATATATATATGTGTGTGTGTGTGTGTGTGTGTGTGTGCGTGTGTGTGTGTGTGTGTGTGTGTGTGTGTGTGATATATATATATATATATATATATATATATATATATATATATATATATATAGTATATATATAATGATGAATATAATGTTATATATACATATATATATATAGTATATATATGATAGATATGATATATTATATATATATATATACATATATATATATATATATATATATATATATATATATATATATATATATATATATATATGCGTGTGTGTGTGTGTGTTCTGAGTGAGTGAGTCCGTGCACACACACATACATATATAATATACATATTAATTTGCCAGTGTGATTTTATTTATTTATTTTATTTATTTTTCATCATTATTTTTTTTAATTATCATTCAGACTAGATGATTCGTTTATGTTGTGGTCTGTGTTAAGTGAGGATGTATAACAGTTTTCCAGATTACTTCTTACAACTGGCAGTGGTACCATTATCCAATCAGCATCTACTACGAGCAGTGACGTCATCACCTCCCCAGCCTGGCTGTGAGCTCTGTTCTTTAACGTTAAGAGTTGGATTGGCGTTGCCGAAGAGGCCCATAAACACAACATCTGCAACTACGGCCTCATTACCACCAAAGTAAGTTAAGTGAAAAAAAAATACCACCTAGGCTATCTGCTCAGACGTTGGCAATCGTGATTACAGTTTTATATAGATTTGACATAGTACAGTATTATGTGACTACTGTAACTGTACATGGTAAAATAGAAATAGAAATCATACATCATACAAAAAAATTACGTTGATATGCTTTTGCCACTGTGTTTACATAACACTGTCCTTTGTTTACATTTAGGATACAGTAGGAGTATAACTCCCAATGTATCAGATAATATGAAATATTCACTTAGTTCTTTATACCTAATGTTAGGTGGTGTAAAAGGCTGTATCACATGACATTCCGAGATATAGTGCTCAAGAGTTCGCTTATTTTCTTCGTTACACAGTCTACATTTTGATTCATCTGCACTTCTTGCACCGTGCAGTTGCCACTACATTCTGTAACCTGAACGTATTCAGGCAATAACCATGTCATGTGGTTCGACTTCGGTGCCACCTATAAGAAGGCTTGCTATCGCTAATCGTAATACTTCATGGTACACCTTTCAGGCCTTTGAGTATTCGTCAGATCTGTTAGTTCTTCCTTATGAGAACTTTGTGCTATTTGCAACCCTAGCAAGAGCCATCCAAAGATCTATGTTCACTGTATCTTTGCTGCAAGCTTCCTTCGCCAATGTGTCTACGAGGTCGTGCTTGCGTATGCCAACATGAGATGGTATCCATACAAACTGAATGAGTTACGTTACGTTTAATGCAACTCACAATTTACTCATCATGAGTCAGCCCTAACAAGTTGACACAGGCCGGGCCATAGCCGAAGGCCCGGGCGAAGCTAGAACTTCGCAAATCACAATCGATCGCCATCTGCTCTGAAAGAACTTAGTGTCCGAAGAGCACTTTGAGAGTCACAGAAAACTACTCCAGAGTCCCGAGACATTAAGAATTCCGATTGCAAGGAGTATACCTGCCAACTCCGTTTGTGTAGTGCTGGTCCAATTTTGCACTCTCATATTAACTTGATGCTGCAATAAGCCATTTTTGTATACAGTATAAGCACAACTAACTTTGTATCCAGAGTGTACGGATCTGTCAGCGTAACACTCGTATCCATCATCGCCCATAGATTACTTGTGTTCCTTTGCCGTTGCTAACGCAATTTATTTTAAGACACAGTTATATACACTGTTTTATTGTGGCAAACATGTAATGTTGCAGTTTTCCATGGCAGAATGGATCGACCTTTTGGTATTTTACAAATTGGGACACTGAGCTTTGCAATATTCACGGAGATTTTGTGTATTAGAGGGTGCGTGTGTGTGTGATTAGTAACGCCTGCTTGTGTGATTTTATGTTGCAGTTGTTTTTGGAAAGATCTATGGGTTCCTTCAGAGCTTTGACCTCAAATATGGTATAAATAAATATTATTCTATCAGAAATGATGGTATATCTAGTTCTGAGCTCATGTTCACTGTCCTTTCTGTTCTCGGGGCGCCGAGAACAATCCCATAGCTTTATTTTTCACTACCTCCAAGCTGTTATTTCCTTACACTGCGACGAGTGCAGTGCATGGTAGTCTACAGCTGACCTTATAAAAGCCAAGTAAAACAGTCTAGTGTCACTACCACCAAACTCTATTTTGTGGTATGATTCATCATAAGCAACTAATGGTTACAGTTTCTCGACTAATGCCTCAAATATTGCATAACTAGAGCATCACTGCTTCTGACCGATGGCAGTCATTGTCATTATTACCATCATAATTACTATCATTTTTACTAATATATTACTATTATGGATAATACCATCATTATTATCATCATTACTGTCACTATTATTATCACTATCATTGTGATTCTTATTTCTGTTATCTATATTATTGTTATTATCATTTTTTAAAAATTATTATTGTTTGCGTCATCATCATCGTTATTATTGTAGGTGTCTCGTGTGTAGGTGACACAATGACCTCACTGACCGCCACCTGGCTGACCTTTGCTTGACCTCTTGTTTAGGATTAGGGACAGATGATTGATAGCCCTCATAGACAATTGTAGGGGTTCACTACAATTATTACTATTATTATTATTATCATTATCATTGTTATTACTATCATTATTATTATTATCATTATTATTATTATTATTATTGTTATTATTATTATTATTATTGTAATAATACTATCATTATTGTTATTACTATTACATCATCGTCATTATAATTGTTATTATAATTTTTGTTATTATTCTTAAAATTATTATTCTTGCTATTACTTTGATAATTTTTATAATAATAGTGAAAATACTCATTATCATTATTACTTTTATTATGGTTACTATCATTAACATTACCATCATCTTTATCAGTAATATCATTATTGCTATTATTCCTTTCATTACCGTCACCATCATCATCATCATCGTTACAAGCGCGATATACGCTAACGCACAGTGTTACCTAGCCGTCTTTTGAGTGCGGCTATACCACTTCTTACCACCCTTGGGTAAAGATGGCAACAAGTGAATATAACCAAATATACTCGCGTGTAGGCCACTGGATAACAGATTTTTATTCCACTCTCTCCAGAGCGGGTTCAGTGTTTGTTATAAGAATAATACGTCCAGTTTTACGTATGACTTTCCTTCTTGTAAACTTCACTTATTTCAGTATTATATCAATTGGTGATTATAAACACATGAAATAATGTTATACCTTTAATGGGTACTTACTGTTACAATTGAAATTCTTCGTCTCCTGACGAGTCCAAAATTCTCCCCTTGGAGAGTACGAAGAGATGCAGACCCATGTCTCATCTACTTCGTATAGTCACACGGAATTCAGTACTGTTATAACCGAAATTAGGAATATCTACCCAAGATAAACCCCCACGAACACCCATGTTCGACGACAGTTAGTACTGAACTGCGGCACAAGTGCCACATAAGCGCCTCGGCCTCCCGTGACCGTGCCGACCCAGCACAGAGCACAGTGGTGCCCTTGTTTACAAGGCCTAAAGAGGATCACCCTTATGTCCCCGAGACCAGGTGTCTATAGTGCCATGTAAAACACTAAAGGCTTATCCCTCCATAGGATAAACACCACACTCTGTAGCTTCAATGGAATGTGGAGTTCCCCTGAACTACCATTCCATCTACCATACAACCATTGGAAAACTCCCAATTCATGGTATGTAATGGTCTTACAAATCAGAAATGCCAATAGATTACCATTTCAATGCTACTTCAACAAGTCTGGCCGTTGACAACAGCACTCGACGCTTGAATTCATTTGAGATTGAAATTTCATTAGCAATATTGTTGTTATTATCATCGTTATTGCAGTTATCATAATTGTTATCATCGTCAATTGTCACCACTATTCATTATTGCTATTTTGTTATTATCTTTATTATGGTATCAGTATTATTCCTTCTATATTTATCCGTTGCGGAGAAACGTGAAGGATCCTTCCTATAAATCTTACAAAGTTTATTCTAAAGTTACCCAAGATATATTTTATATATGTAAACTATCCATTACAACCATAATCATTTAGAAATAAACGACACCCAATATAATATGAAGCTAAAATGAATTCCACAAATCAAAAAGTATTGCTTACACTAACCATCCCTCGAGGCGGCTAAACAAAACAAAAAATCCAGGTGAGAGAAATCCGTCTTCCTTCATATAATCGCCGATTCATCCATAATTCTGATTTGTTTTTTAGTTTCTCTCCCGAATGTTGATTAATGAATGTGAGGAGGATATTTTGAGATATGGTTTTAGTTATTTCAGCAGCGGAGGAAAGCGAAATGAGAACCGTTAAGAGGGAGAGGTGTTTTATTGCTTGTGTATGAGCTTGAAATCCTTTCATATTTTCGTATTTCTTATATATATATATATATGGTTGTATATCTTTATATCGAAATATATGGTTGTATATCTTTCCGTATACGCAGTGTTGATGTTATTATCATCATTGAAGTGTTAGTCAAACAATATGCATTTGCTTCCCTGACATGTAGAGTTTTATGACACTTAAAAAGGTTCGAAAAAAAATCTTAACCATTAGAATATAAGGTATTAAAAAAGCAACCTTAAACCGATCGACATGGATGACAGAATACATGTCATGCCCTCTGTGACATAAGTTCATCTGTTGTCTTTACACCTAGATGGCTTTGCAGATGTTTAGTCACCAAGGAGGCAGTTATTAGTCCCAACTATATCCCCTGGTGACCCTTTTCCTTTATTTTTGAAAGGTTCATTTGTATTATTTGATTGTTTTTAAAGTTATTAGTATTTTCATAAGGATATAGTAATTATAATATCAATAAAAAAAATAACAGTATCAATATTAACAGTATTATAAAGAAAAGCACTTTCCCGCAAATTCAAAATTCACCAAAACTACAAGGGACAGTACATAAATCCATAGTCATTGGGTTAAGAATTCTAAATAGAACAGGACTCTTCCCCTTCCTGCCTCCAAGCTGTAAGCTGATCAATTTCAGAGATTCAGTGAAGTACAAAGGATGAGTCCAGCTCCGTAGTTGTATAATATTTAAGCATATTCTATGGTTTCCTGCAAAAAGAAAGAGAGAAAAAAATAATCTACCCAGTATATTTAGAGCTTGGAAGAAGAACAAATTGCCAGGGATGTTGTATAATTATTACAGTATGGACACACTATACTAGGGCATATTGAAGTTGATATTCTTGTAGAGAACAAAAGTTGTATTCATTGGTACAAGAAATAATTTGCTTGCACAAACGATAATGCCACAAATAAAGGGTAAAAGGTCGCGGAAAGGGCTGTTCACAGGCTTAGTTCTTGAGTGTCGGCTCCATCTTGCTGTGCATGCCGTGATGCACACAATGTTTGCAAGGAGCAGTCACCCATTCACACTAATTTACTTTATTGAATAAAGTTTGTGATGTGGAGCATTTAATAAATGTTTAATGATTATTTATTCAGTTCATTATTATAATTTTCTTTATGTATTTCTTTATTCTTCCAATAGGGGTAGAATGGTGACCAGCATGAAAGCCAACCATGATGCTGAGTGCCCCCTAGAGCAGTTCTTACAGGGGAAATGGCTAGTGGATTGCCGTTTCCCCCTCATTCCTGCATCAGAGCTTCACCAGCCTGTCCCCAAGAAGCGTACTAGGGTCACAACAGACTGGGAAGAGGAAGAAGATGAAATCCCTGAGAAGAATCACAAAATGGAAAAGGAGGAGGAGGAGAGGGAGGAAGAGAGAACAATAAACACCAAAAAAAATGCAGGGATTCCTAAAATTATCATAAAATATCAAGAAAAGGGAGGAGCTGAGAATGTGAAGGTCCTTGGTGAATACAATAAGAATACTGGGAGCAAGGGCCCTGAGACAAACCCCACACTTGTTCTGAAGCTGAGCAAGAAGACAAGTGCCAAGGACTCCCATATGGAAAGCAAGGAGAACTCTAAAGGCATACCCAAAGCCTTGAAGAGGAAGAGTAAGGATCAGGAAGAAATCAGCCCCAAAAAGACCTCAAGAAGCTCATCCTCATCACCTCAACCTCCAGTCAAAGGGAAAGGGCAGCAGAAAAGGATTGAGAGTGAGAACGAAGAAGGGGCCAGAGGAATGATGTCAGAGGGTACAGAACTGAAGGCTGAGAGGAAAGGAAGGCCAAAGAAAAGCAAGAAGAAGAAGCAAAAAGAAGTAGAAGTAATGACTGCATCT